CTCTCTCTCTCTCTCTCTCTCTCTCTCTCTCTCTCTCTCTCTCTCTCTCTCTCTCTCTCTTCATTAACATGGCTCAGGGTCTGTCAATTTTATTTTTCAAAGAACCAACTTTTTGTTTTGATTTTAGCTCTAATCATTTCTTGCCTTCTACTGTTTTTGCTCCTTGTTTGTTCTTTTTCTAGGGATTTGATATGTAGTGTGATGTCATTTATTTGTAGGCTTTTTCTTTGGAGAAATGAACTCCATGCAATGAAGTTTTCTGTTCATACTGCTTTCATTGTGTCTGAAAGATTTTGCTATATTGTGTGTATGTTGTTGTTGACCTCTAAGAATTTTTTAATCTCCTCCTCAATGTTTTCTGTAACCCATTGTTCATTCAGTAGAATATTGTTCAGTCTCCATAGGTGCAGAATTTTTCATTCTTTATTTTGTCATTGATTTCCAATTTGATTCCATTAAGATCTGATGAAATTCATGGTAGTATCTCTACTCCTTTGTATTTGCTAAGAGTTGCTCTGTGGCATAGTATATGGTCTACTTTTGCGAATTGTCCATGCGCTGCTGAGAAGAAAGAGTACCCACTTGATGCCGGTTAGTGTCTGTGTTTTCTATTCTGTACTTTTGGTCTACCAACCTGTTTTAGTACCAATATCATACGATTGCTCTGTGGTATATATAGATTAAGGTCTGGTATAGCGATACCACCTGTTTCACTCTTCCTGCTAAGAATTGTTCTAGCAATTCTGGGTCTCTTATTTATCCAGATGAATTTTATGATTGCCTTTTCTATTTCTATGAGGAATGTCATTGGGATTTTGATCAGAATTGAATTAAATATGTGTGGTGCTTCTGGTAGTGTGGTCATTTTTAATAATATTATTTCTGCCTATCCATGAGCAAGATAGACCTTTTCATCTTCCTTGATTACACTCTTTAGGGTTCTATAGTTTTCATTGTGTAGATCTTTTTACCTCTTTTGTTAAGTTGATCCCAAAGTATATATATATTTTTAGGATATTGTGAATGGGGTAGTTTCCCTCATTTCCCTCCCAGAGGATTTGTCACTGATATACAGAAATGCATTTGATTTATGGGTATTGATTTTATATCCTGCTACTTTGCTGAATTCATTTACTAGTTCTAAAAGTTTTCTGGTGGAGTTTCTTGGGTCTCCTAGGTATAGAATCATATCATCAGCAAATAGTGCTAGTTTAAGTTCTTCTTTTCCTCTACTTATTCCTTTAATTTCTTTCATGTAATTGATCTGACCGGTGTTTCAAGAACTACATGGAATAGAAGTGATGAGAGAGGGTATCCCTGTCTTGTTCAGATTTTAGAGGGAATGCCTTCAGTTTTTCTCCGTTTAGAATGATGTTGGCCTGGGGCTTAGCATAGATAGCCTTTATAATATTGAGGTAAGTTCCTGTTTTCTCTAGTTTTTCTAGTGTTTTGAACATGAAGGGGTGCCGTATTTTGCCAAATGCTTTTTCTGCATCTGTTGAGATGACCATATGGTTCTTATCTTTGAGTCTATTGATGTGATGAATTACACTTACTGATTTATGTATGTTGAACTAACCCTGCATCCTTGGGATGAATCCCACTTGATCATGGTGCACGATCTTTTTGGTATGTTTTTGTATTCAATTTGCCAGAATTTTATTGAGAATTTTTGCATTTATATTAATTAGAGATATTGGTTTGAAGTTTTCTTTCTTTGAAGTGTCTTTGCCTGGTTTTGGGATCAGGGGGATATTGGCCTCGTAGAATGAATTTGGAAGTACTCCCTCTTTTTTTATTGCCAGAAATAGGTTGAAGAGTATTGGTATTACTTCTTTAAAGGTCTAGTAAAACTTGGCTGCATATCGATCTGGTACTTGGCTTTTCTTGCTTCGGAATCTTCTGATGGCTTCTTCTGTTTCCTCACTTGATATTGGTCTGTGTAAGTTGTGTTATATCTTCCTGACTCAATCTGGGCAGATCACATGACTTAAGGAATTTATTGATGTCTTCACTATCTTCTATTCCTTTAAAAGCTATTAGAGTATATGGTTTCAAAATACTTTCTAATTATCCTTTATATTTCTGTAGTGTCTGCTGTGATATTTCCTTTTTTATGACTTCTGGTAATTTGATTTCTCTCTGTCTCTTTGTTAGCATGGCTAAAGATCTGTCAATTTTATTTTTTTCAAAGAACCAACTTTTAGTTTTTTCAATTTTTTCAATTGTTTCTTTTGTTTCAATTTCATTGATTTCAGCTGATTTTTTTTCTTTTTCTAGGGCTTTGAGATGTAATGTGAGATCATTTATTTGTTGGCTCTTTCTATTAAGTTCTTTCTATTAATGAATGAACTCCATACAATGGATTTATCTCTTAGTGCTGCTTTCATAGTGTCCCAGAGATTTTGATATGTTGTGTCTATATTTTCATGTATATGACTTTTTTAATCTCCTCTTTGATGTCTTCTGTAACCCATTGTTCATTCTGTAGCATATTGTTCAGTATCTATGGTATGGCAGGATTTTTTTATTCTTATTGATTTCCAATTTTATTCCATTATAATATGATAAAATGCATGGTAGTATCTCTACTTTTTGTATTTTCTAAGAGTTTCCCTGTGGCATAATATCCTTCTCTATTTTTGAGAAGGATCCATGTGCTGCTGAGAATACAGTGTATCCACTTGATGTTGGTTGATATATTCTATATATGTCAATTAAGTCTAAGTTATTAATTGTGTTATTGAGTTCTATATTTTCTTTATTCAACTTTTGTTTGGAAGATTTGCCCAGTGGTGAGGTGTGTGTGAAAGTCGTCCAAGATCATGTTGTGGTCAATTTGACTCTTGAACTTGAGAAGAGTTTGTTTGAACATAGGTGCACCATTGTTTGGGGTATATATATTTGATCGTTATGTCTGGTTGGTGTATGGTTCCCTTGAGCAGTATGTAATGTTCTTCTTTATCTCTTTTGATTAACTTTGACTTGAAGTCTACTTTATTTGACATTACTATGGAGACCTGCTTGCTTTCACGATTCATGTGAGTGGAATGCTTTTCCCAACCTTCCACCTTCAGTCTGTCTTTTCCTATCAAATGAGTCTCCTGGAGGCAGCATATTGTATTTTTTTTTTAATCCAGGCTACTAGCCTATGTCTTTTGATTGGTGTGCTTAAGCCATTAACATTTAGGGTTACTATTGAGACATGGTTTGTATTTACAGCCATCTTTGTTTATTTTTGCTACTTGAAGTGTTAATTATTGTTTAATTTTTAATTTTTATCTACATATATGATCCAGCATTTTAATTGAACATGTATAGTGATCAAATCAGTGCAATTTCTACCTTCTAAAATATCATTTTGATATTTGAAACCTGCAAACTCTTGTTAGAATATCCACAGTCTAATAATTACTTTTCCCTCTTAACTGCATTTCAGCACTTCTTGCCAACTGTCTCTTATAACAGATATAAAAAGCTTTTCTCTTTTGTTGTTCTTTGTGATCAACTTTTCCAGCTTCAACATATGAGTGCAAACATACACGTTTTGTGAAATATGAAAAATCACTAGAAAAAGACAATCTCCCATGGTAAGTCCATAAAAAATAATATAAATTTAAAAATTGTAAAATATAATCCCAGTGCATTGTGAGGCTAAGACAGGAAGATGGTGAGTTCAAATCCAGCAACAGCAAGGCCCTGAGCAACTTGGTGAGATGCTGTCTCTAAATAAAATATAAAATTGAAGTAGGGATGTGGCTCACTGGTTGAGTGCCCCTGAGTTTAATCCCTGGTATCCCCCAAATATTTTAGGGTTCACATTTAGTCACTAGGCCTTAGGTCTTTCTTAGTGAGATCTATATATAAATGGTATATGCCAATTCTTATGAATTTATTTTATGTAAGTCAAATATTATATAAATATTTTTATAGTATAAGCTTAAATAGATCTATATTAGCATGTAAAAATAACTTAAAATTGTTTTAGGTGAGGCTGAATGCCTACTATCTCATTGGCTCAGGAGTCAGAGGGTTGCAATGCCAAAGCTCAGTAACTTAGCAAGATTTTCCTCCAATATAAAAAGTGGCTGATGAGATAGTTTAATGATGAAGTGCCTTGGGTTCAATCTGTGGTACAAAGGAAAGAAGCAGGATTTTAAAATTGCCTTGTCTCAACAACAACAACAAAATGTGTATTTAAAATGAAAAAATGCATTCTATCACTTTTCTGTGACACACAGAATCTGCTTTAATTCATTTTAAACATTTGAATCTTACACAATACAAGTTTTCTATCACTCATTAAATGACATGTTTTAATCACGTGTCTCAAGGCCATTGGATGAATTTAAATTCAGTGTGGCTGAGGAATCTTCAGTCATACCTACAGGAGTGTGCAGGTGCCATGAATTTGCAGTAATAGTCAATAACTCATGGATGGGTTGTTCATTGCCTTGAAACTGTTGGAAAATTGTTTTCTGATGGTAAATTTCGATAACAGTATCAGGAAAAATTTAGACCCTTTCCTGATAGTATGCTTCAAAGAAAGAGACACAATTTCATGCAATCATAAGGAGAACTGATCTTCATACAGGTAGTGTCAGGAGAAAGCAGTCTGCAGAATGACCAATCTCCAGTTTTGAACTACAATCATATCACTAAATAATGTGCATCAAGTATATATGATTAAAACATATATCATGGTAATAATGAGAACTAATCTTCATACAGGTAGTGCCAGGAGAAAGCCCAGTCTGGTCATTCTGCTAGCTCCAGTTCTGAACCACAATTGTCACTAAATGATGTGCATCAAGTATGATTAAAATTGTGTAAATATATCATGGTAGTGTTGTGAAGAACTATCTATAGTAATGTCCATGCTGAGGTTCCATTGCTTTTAAGAAGCATCATGGGGAATGGGAATGATTCATAGATGACTGAAATCCTGAGCTATGTACCTTCCCAGCTGTGCACATTATGCCTGGCACAACATAGTCCAGGAGATCATGAGACATAACACAAGCTCTCTGACATCATAATCTGAGAAACAATCCTCAAACAAGGGTCTACAGAGTGATGCTTCCAGCTTGGTCCAGGGATGCCCTATCGTACTAGGCACTCATGTCCTTTATGCACTGGAGAAATCAAGTTGCCTCCCAGAGTGGGCATTCTTTGTGGAAGGATGTGTAAATCACAGGGAATCGAACACAGATTTCTGAAATAGGTTACATTTGAAGAATTCACATATGGTAAGAGGAAGGAAAGGCCAAGTGAGGAGATGAGAAAAAACAGATCATACATGAAAAAGAAATTTTCAAAAAAAAATCAGAAGTTTTGTTTGTTAGAGCTGATAGTAAAAAGACGCCAGTTTTCTCTGTAAAATAACATTGAGTGGAGATAAGCATGAAACCTAGAGATTTACCCTTTGGAGTAAAGAATGGTGTGAATATTATTCTCCTAGAACTTATCATTTCAATATTTATTTTCCCAAATAAAGTTAAATCAAATGTTTGTGGGTGGTGTTTTGTTGACCCAAAGGGCTCACATATGACGAGAATATTGTGTTTTTACTTTTTGAACAGGACTTGTAGATGAGATTCTAGGGGTTTATTTCAATCAAAATTGTGTTTCTCTCTCTGTGGTGTCATGGGTTCCTGGAGCTGTAAGATCTGAGCAGGGACAGGGTCAGGTTATAGTATCTTATAATTACTGTGTTGCTGAGGGGTCTGGGAAACCATGACACATGCTATCTATCATCTAATCCAATAAGTATAACAAACATGATATTGTAAGTTATTAAGTAGAACAGAAAAGGTCTACACAATAAAAATATATAATGAAATAAAAATGTGGGGGCATAAATGCTCCTATAGTACGTCTTTTTTTTTCTTTTTACAGTCATCATTTTTCATGTTTATGGTTACACTTTTCTACTGGGTATATAAGACTAAAGAGGTGGTCCTGTATTGGAATGTTTTTCCTACACTTGAGGTCAGTCTAGTCGCCTCAGTGATGAACGCCATGGAATTCATGAGGAAATGCATAATTTTTTCAGTCCAAGCATTATGATGTGCCTGTGGACCATGTGATTTCCCAAGAAAACATTGAGAATATTTCCCCCTTCAGCCCAACCCTCCTTTTTTACCTGAATATGCATGTTGGCTCCTAGGCTTTTGGGTCTTTCTCATCTCCCTGATTGGGAGCTTATATAACTCTCCAAAGTTGTAGATCCCTTAGGTGTACTGCAACTCTATCAGGTGAAATTTTAAAGTTGTAATTCAAACTAGAGATATCTGGACATTATTTTAGTATTCCTAGGTCCTTCTTGTAACTTAATTTTTGTATAATTACAAATAAAAGAGTATATAATTTACGTAAATTATATTTACCAAATAAAACTTGAAAAAACATATGAAATAATTAATGGAGACGTTATAGCATTATTTACCCAATAGAATGTTTTACTATTGCGTCGATCCATTATCAAAGTGAATAGTGGAAGATGTGTGACCTAACATCATTAAATGCATGATAAGGTTAACATTAAGAAATTTACACTTTATTTAGTAACAAATTGCATCCCTAATGCAAATATAAATAAAAATGACCTGTAAAATGGGCATGGTGGTCCATGCCTGTGATCCTTGGGATGTGAGAAGTTTTCAAGTTCAAAGCCAGGCTCCATAACTTCGTGAAGCCCTAAACAACTTACCAAACCCTATCTCTAAATAAAGATGAAAAAAATATCTGGGGATGCAGTTTACTGATAAACTTAGGGACACTTAAGTACAAAAATAAAAACCAAAAATTTAAAATTTCATATAAACTTTACAGAGACTTCTGTAATAATAAACAATGAGAATTATGTTTTCTCCAGTTGTGAAAAATGAGAATATTTAGTAATTGTTGATTCATAGTAAAATTATACCCTTTTAGGGATGCACTATTCTATATTTTTATTTCCTTATTTCTACACTATCAGATAAAGATGTTAAGAAAATTCTCAGCGAATGTCAAAAGCAATTACCTATTTTCTACATTTAAATGATTTTTTTCCCCTCCTAGGTCCTGAATACTTCTAGGGATAGGCTATAGATATAAAAATTTTTAGTAAATTTCTTATTTGTTAAGGTGTTTTTGTAAATAGTTTGTTGTTAAAAAAGGTACATACTTTGGACAAATGCTACTCCACATTTGCTACAGATATAAGGGCAGAAATTTTAAAATGCCTGAAATTTGAATACAGTCTTGGACACATTCTTTGGGTTTCTATATACTATCAATCCTCCAGTGTTTCAAAAATGTTTGATCAATGTCCAAAAACTTTGCAAAAATTTTTCCACATGTCCTCTCACTTGAATTAATTCTGGGGTGCTGCATAGGGTGTGAAAAACTGTTGGAGACTCTTTCACCTATTTTACCCTTATATAATTTCTGTGCTATCATATCTCTGGTGTGAAATAGTGTTGAACTACTGTGAAATAGGGTTGATTCATCCTTAAAGACACTGATGCAATGTTTTCATTTTAAAACTTCTCTCCAGTATAAAGTCTATAATGTTTACTAATATGTGATCTTCAATTTCAAAAACTTTGCCATTCTTCACATTTATAGGACTTCTTTCTAGGATGGGTTTTCTGGTGTTGAGTAAGTGATGATTTTTGATTAAAATCCCTGCCAAATCCTTCACATTTGTAGGGCTTCTTACCAGTATATCCCCTTGTGGCAACTAAGCTGTGAGACAGTTTAAAAGCTTTCCGCATTCTCTACATTTGTAGGGCTTCTCTCCAGTATGAATCCTTTTGTGACAATTAAGATGTGAGATGCTATTAAAAGCTTTTCCACATTCTTTACATTTGTAGGGCTTTTCTCCAGTGTGGATTCTCTGGTGCTGAGTAAGTGACAATCTTTGCCTAAAAGTTTTGCCACATTCTTCATACTTGTAGGGCTTCTCTCCAGTATGAATCCTCTTGTGGCAACCAAGATGTGAGATGCTATTAAAAGCTTTGCCACATTTTTCACCTTTGTGCAGCTTCTTTCCAGTATGAATCCTTTTGTGATAATTACAGTGTAAGATGCTATTAAAAGATTGCCACATTCTTTACATTTGTAGGGCTTCTCTCCAGTATGAATCCTGTTGTGTCTATCAAGCTGTGAGTTTGTGTTAAAACTTTTGCCATACACTTTAATTTGTAGGGCTTCTCTCCAGTATGAATTCTCTGGTGATTTTTAAGGCTTTGTTTTTGACTAAAAGCTTCACAAATTTGTTTACATGTGTGGGACATCTCTCCAGTGTGTGTGTGTCCACTGGTGACAAATAAGATTGGAGCTTTTATTAGAACTTTTGTCACATTCTTCGCATGGAATATCTCCTGTATGAGCACTGCGATGTTGAGTAAAGTTTTTGAGTGTGTTGAATTCTTCACATTGGTAGGTCTTCTCTGCAGAATACAGTTTTTGGTGTTTAGTAAGAGTTGAACAATCTTTTAAGGCTTTGCTACACTTTTTACATTTAAAGGTCTTTTCTTCAGTATAAATCCCCTGATGCTTAACAAGTTGTAACCTTTCACTAAACGTTTTTCTGATTTCTTTTAAATTTGTAGAGTTTATCACTGTCATAATATCTACCATGTTTAAAGAATATATCAGCTTGCTCAACATTTTCTAATCTTATAGGGCTCTCTTTCTCTATAAATTCTCTTGAATTGAGCAAACTCTGCACTGTGATTAAGAGCCCTTTCACTTGCACGTTTTGTCTTGACTATGAATATTTGGATGAGTAATAGCTTCTGAGCACTGAAGCAAGACTTTCCCAAATTTTTCATTTTGGTAAATTTTTTTTTTAGAAAATGACTAGGAGTTTCTCTATATTCATAATTTTATCACCAATGTAAATATCCTGGTAATTACTCAGGGTAGAGACATGGCTAATGGTGTTACTTTATAGCATTATCTATATAGTGCACTTTTCGGAAATCTGTATCAGAATTGTCATTGAGCAATAGTTGGGAAGTAGAAACCTTTCTACAATTCTTAATATTGTCTACTTGGGCAAAAGGAGAAATTACTCTTTTGTTGTGGAAAAATGGACATTTTTTAAAGAAACTCTCAAAAGTATCACTTTTAGAAATTTGTCTTAAATATCTTTTCTGTGCAAATGTTTGACTGGAAATTTAACTCAGTGCTACATTTATAATTGGCCAAGTTAAAAACTGATGCATGGACCATATTTGTTTTCAAATTTTCCACATTTCCTTTCAGAGGAAATATAGTCTTCAAAATGGCTGTGGATATATTCTTAAAGACATATACAGCTCCTCAAAATAATTACTCACCTATATTTTCCCATTGTTTTCTTAGTTGTAAATGGTCAAGATGATACTTTCTATATCTTCTCTCTCTCCCTTTTATTCCTTGCTCTGGTAATATTTCTTGAGGATGATGAGAAGTCATGGCTGAAATAAAAATAATGATCATGTTTACTTACTGTACTGGGCAGAGTATATTTTGCAATCATAGGAAATTACAGCAATAAAGGAACATCATCAGGGGAGTAGGGTATTAAATCTAAGGCCATCGTTACTGCAGAAATATGTAAATCAAATAAAAATGTACACAGAAAATTACCTTGAGAACTTTCCAAATCATCTTAGTGTTCACAGTATCCAAGATGAGTACCTTACTATGGAGAGTAATATAGAAGAGGAAAATCGATTGTGTTACACAAAGCCTTTTCTCCTTCACAATATATTTTAAAAATATACCAACTTTCTTCTGTTTCATTAAAAAAGAAAAATTTGAAACATGCAAATATTTGGGGACTGTTCAAAAAGGGGTTCCTGCTTACCAACAGAAATAAAACATGGCTAAATCAAGTGTAAGAAGAGTTATGAATTACTAAATAGGAATAGTAAACTATCATTTAAAAGGAGTTTACTGAATTAAACCAACACAAAAAAATAGAATGAAATTTAGTCAAGAATTGTTAATAGTAATAAGAAGAAAATGTGTGTTTAAAGATTTTCTTTAGAAAATGTTGGAAAGAGTCAGGGGTTGTTGTATACAGCAACATAGGAGGTTGAGCCAGAAGATCAAAATTTCAAAGCCAGCCAAAGCAAAAAATGCAAAGTGGTAATGTGCCCTTAAGTTCTCTTTCCAGTACTAATAAAAACATCTCATAAATTAGGAAAAATAAAACATCCAAGTAGCTCAATTATCTCAAAATTACAGGTTTTAATCCAAGTTTTAAAACTCAGAATATTGAGAGCATCCAAGAGAAAAATATGGGTCACTTAGAAATGTGTAACTATATAATTGGGAAATCCTTAGTTGAAACTTCACAACACAGAAAGGAATTCAGGGCTATTTTCAAGGGATAAAAGAATAAAATTATCAACCAAGACATTATATTCACAGCTTCTGTCTTTTTTTTTTTTAGAATTTTTATTTTTATTTTTTTTTAGTTTTTGGCAGACACAACATCTTTGTTGCTATGTGGTGCTGAGGATCGAACCTGGGCCGCACACATGCCAGGAGAGCGCGCTACTGCTTGAGCCACATCCTCAGCCCCAGCTTCTGTCTTTCAATGAGAAGGAAACTGAAGACTTTAAAGATATAAAAATTACACAGTATTCATCAATACTAGATCTGTTCTCCACAAAGCACTAAAGGTAATCCTTTATTCTAAAATATAAGTGTGCACAGCAACACAAGTCATATGAAATTTTACATTTATTGGCACAAACAATTCTATTTTATTGTATGATGTGTCTCAAAACATGTAATTTTGCATTATAATTTGAAAGACAAAAGCATAAAAACAAATCTGTTAATAGGCATATATACCTGTAACAATAATATAATTTTAGAGGACACATAAATATATTCAATTTTTTAATAAAGTGAAGTCAAGTTGATACTCATACAAAGTATGAGTAGGAAATTCTTCATTTTTAGACTTTTTTGTTGGCAAATGCAATATTAAAAAATTCTGATCAAAACAAACCTTGGCTATCTGAATTAACTCTCAAAATTACAACTCGAGGTTGTCCACAGGATACTCTAAGTCTAAGAACACACATACTGAAAGCAAAGGGATATTAGAATGACACATACAAAAGTGACCAAACAAAACCTGGGTTGTCTAAATTATAGTACACAAAACATAGTTTAAGAGAGTTGCAGGACATAAAGGTTTTTTTTTTTTTTTTAATTTAAAACATCTTCTAAGAGGCAAAATAGAGAAAGGGAACCTTTCCCTAGTTTCTGCATTAAAAGTAAATACATTCACAATGAACATCCTACTTCCCAAGTGCACAAAGAAAAAATTGAGAGAGTTGAATGAAAACCAAGAATCACTGTCATCCTAGGAGACATCAATCCCCGCTTACTGAAAAGGAAAATACAGTGAAGCAAAATGGTAATTGTAAAGCATAAGACTTTGAAAATATTTTGAAACTATTGGACTTATAGAATCCCTGTTCTTAATCACAAATGGGATATTATATTGGATTGAACAATTTTATGTATTAAAACAAAGGTTAATAGATATTTAAATGATAGTTATTTGTAACCAACATGGAATAAAAATTTGAAGTAAAAAGTTATAGGGATGTTCAAAAAATCCATAAATATGTGTCAGTTTATTCAACACTCTTGGGCATCCTGTTGTTCAAGAATTGAAAGATAACTTGAAGTAGTAGTATACATCTTTTAAATTTTTTAGAGAGAGAGAGAATTTTAATATTTATTTTTTAGTTTTCGGCAGACACAACACATTTGTTTCAATGTAGTGCTGAGGATCGAACCTGAGCCGCATGCATGCCAGGTGAGCACACCACTACTTGAGCCACATCCCCAGCCCAACATCTTTTAATTTTAACTTGAGGCTCCAGGTAATATTCATCAAACTCCCATTGTTATTTTTTTTTACAGAGAAATCTATCTTTTAAATTGTATGAATATCTCCCAAAATACAAATAAAATTAGAAGAATATTTCCCTGCTAAAAAAATATACTAAAAGTTACAGCATTCAATTGTAAATGCAGATACAGAGTTAGGTACATGGAGTTCTGAGTGTGATATTAAGCCCTAAACATCAATAGCAAATTAAAACATTGCATACCAGTGTTGTTACACTATTATTCAACAAAGCCATCATGGGGGATGCAAATAAAATATACTTGAAAAGAACAGATGAGACAATTTGGAATACAAAACTATAGAATTTGAAGTCAAACAATTTATTCTAATTACAAAATGTAAGTACACTAGGTTATCTGAAATTTGTCACAGAAAGAATACTGCAGAATTCTACAGACATGATATCTCTAAACGAAAAAAGAAGCTTTCTGAACAAAAGAGAATGGTTTTGTGATGGAGAGACAGAAATGAGCCCTTGCTTCCTAGGAATTGATTTTTTTTAGATGTAAACTTTTTAGAGATATATTGCATAACAATTAGAATTAATGTTACCGAATATTTAAAATTTTGGAGACAGTAAGTTTTATTTTGTGGTTTTGATTACAGTGAAAGTTAAAAGATAAAGAGATTTGCAACATTTCTCAAAGCTACATTTAAAATAATGTGGTCTTTATCCTACAAACAAGAACAAACTCATCAATATATCCTATAAATAAGAACAAACTCATCAATATACAAATGATGGACATGCATGTAATCTCAGCTACTAGGAAGTGGGAGGCAGGAGAATTGCAAATTCAAGACATCCTCAATAACTTAGTGAGAACCTCTTTCCAACTATGAGTGAAAAGGAGCTTGGGATATAGTTCAGCATTCAAGTATCACTGCCATCAATCCCCATTACCTTTACATATAGAAAATTTCAATTTCTACATACATGGGCAGAATGAAAGGCCAATCAAGATAAAATACAAAAGTCATAGACAAAAGAGGCTTAATATTTATCCAAGCAAAAGCACATATAATATTATTGGCAATATAAACAAGAGTCATGCATATCTTAATTTGTGAATCAATTAACTAATATGAGGAAAACCAGTCTATAACATGGAACTTACTGTAAAAATGAAAAAATAAAGAAAAAACCAACCAAACTGTAAATATCCACAGATGTGTTATTTTACAAATCCCCTTATTCAAGTAAAACTTACACCATCTCTCAAAAGAGCAGTGTTTGTCAATCTGACATTCATTCCATGGCAGATAATTTCACAGAAAATCCATTACACATATTCAGAAAGAACTCTGATAAGGAAATTTTAGTGAAAAAAAATGTACAAATAAGATTAGAGAAACTGACACATGATAGTAATGTATTATAATGGGTTGACCTAGAGGTCTCCATAAATGTGCAAAAATTTCCTGTAAATAATGGAAGAGGGGCTGCAGTTGTAGGCTAGTAGTAGAGTGCTTATGTAGCATGTATGAGGCCCTCGGATAGATCCTCAGCACCATATATGGATAAATGTGAAATTCATCAAGAACTAAAAAACATTTTAAAAAATTATGGAAATACTGTCAGATACTATTGACACAGGCAAGGGGAGTGTTTTGTTGTTAATTTGCATGTACAAAGACATTACTGGAGGAAAAGCAGGAGACTAGATAATTTAAAGCACAAAATACAGAACAGGTTCTTCTAATGATAACAAGAGAAAGAAATCAAAGCTTCTCAAAAATCCTTTCTGCTGGATATCAACTTTTGAATTTAGGCTTCCTCTTCTACCTCAACTATGTCCCCTGCTGTATGTGGGCCACAGTATTTGACATCACTGCATTCATCTAAGTAAACCATATGTCAAGTGAAGGATGTATATCATGCCATTGAAGGAAAACATTAAGGATGAAAACAAACATCATTAACATTTTCTCATCAGCACCAAGAACTACCCCATCTTTTTTATTGAAAGCATGAATCTTAAACTCATTCTTATGGTGATGTTCCCAAAAGATATACTTCAAGGGAAGAAAATTAAATAATGATAATTAGGAATTTTGAAGGAAAGTTATGCTCAGCCACAAAGAGCAGGTTGCTGTAGTTTTCCAACATCACTTATCTATATAAATTTTGCTGAGCAGGATGTGGGCGTTCTTATTCCTCCTCAGAGAAATCAGTGGCCACATCCCTGAATATCAATGGCTCCTGAAGTAAAAATTGGTAGATCAATAGCACACAGACCAACCATTATTCAGTTTTTAGTTTGAATTAAGAGTTAGGAGAACTGACTGTCATGTAGGAGAGTCACCTTAATTATGTAGTAAGATACTTTCTATTATCTAATTCAGATTAAAATACATAAGTCCAAAAACAGTATATATATTCCACAGAGTGAGTGAAGGATATATACAATAATCCAAGCACTGAATAAAAGCCCAACTCCTAATTTTTCTGCCATCAGTGAATGAAATTTGGGGACATTTTAGATGCAAATCAGACTTGTCAAACATATTCTCATAAGGTTATTGTGCCCAAGGGAGACCAAAAGAGTGGTTAAAAAAAAAGCTTTTGAAAACAGTCTGTACCCGTGAGATTGATTGAGCTCCCAAATATAATTAGTTTCAAGTATGACCCATTCCCAATGTGTAAAATATTCATAAGATATTGACGTTTGGAGACATGTAAACTGACACTTACACCTCATGAAAAGACAGACTTGAAATATTTCAAGTTCTATAAGCAGTTCAATGAGTGAATAAATTTGGTACAATAGAGGCCCAGACAGCAGCACGTATGTATGTGTTCAAAAGACTGGGACAAAGAAATGGTTAATAAAAAAGACCTTTTAATGTAATTGTAATGGAAAAATAATGGTAACAATAAGTTACTTAAAACTCATACAACCAAGGAAATATAAACAAGGAAAATGATGGATTTGAGAAATACATAATAAAATTATTAGTCATAAAAGAGGCACAGTATGTTATCTCCGTGTGCAAAAGCAAGATGAGATCAGTAAGACACACCAGAAGCGTCCACACAGTTTTTCCATGTAGGAACTCCACATGTGGATGGATCCTAATTACTTAAACATAGCTACTTTATTGGAAGAATTACCTTGACATCAGAGCATAATCACCTCATCTACACAAATAACCAATTAAAAATCTTCAATAGCAAAATATCTAAATACTTGAGCCAACTGGAATTGTATGGTATCAAGATTTTGTGAAAGGAACAACAAGACAAATCAGGTTAGTAGATGATTGTAGTCACTGTTCACAAAACGCAAGTAAAATTCCTGACATGTTAGAATAAATATACTTTCCAAACTGGAGCACCCTCACTGTAACACTGTAGCCTTCTGTGGCTCATTCCTAAGCAGCGAGTGATGTAATTCTGGGCAGCTAAGAAAATAATTCTGTAAAGTCCACACACCTCAGATTCCTTTTGCAAAGAAAAGAAATGCTTAGTCTTCCAGAGTCACAATTCTCACAAGTTAATAGACTCATAGCTGCAGTCTAAGGTCCTTACCTACAATGTCCTTTAAATTTTATTTTTCTAAAAGAAAATGTGTGAATTTGCAGAAAATCAACAAAATTTTTAACCTTTGGGGGGCTGGGGTTGTGACTCAGTGGCAGAGCACTTGCCTAGCATGTGTGAGGCACCTAGCATGTGTGCTGATCCTCAGCACCACATATAATTAAAGAATAAAGGTACATCAACAACTAAAAATACTTTAAAAAAGAACATATTTTGACACTTTTTGGCAAAAATATCACTAGTTCAGATCTTGAACTTGTAGTCCTTCACCTCATTCTGGTGCTACTTGTAAGTCCCAGAATGTCATCTACACTTCTGATCAACTTCCTGTAAGTTGGGGGACCCTACAACTACCACATACAGAAAGGAGCATTCAATATTAAGATATTAGTTATCTACAACTCTAATAAATGAATTAAACACAACCATGATAAAATCCTAATAACCTGTTGCACAAATGTTAAAAAATTGCTTCTAAAGATATATGGAGAAGGCAGGCATACAGAGTGGTCAACAATTCTGTAGAATAAGTTTACAAGACTGAAATATCTGATGCTGAGATTTAGTATGAACTTATAGTAACTCAAAAGGTGAGTTGTGGCAAGGAATATACAAACAGATCAGTGGAACAGAACTGAAAACCTAGAAATAAACTAAAAAAACACACAAGAAAAGTCAGGACTTCACTGGAGATGATACAATCTTTTTAAAGAATTATGAACACCTTGGCATCTGTATGCAAAGAAATGAATTAGACACAGAACTTACAACTAAGATATCATCTCACTCCAGTCACAATGGCAACTGTTATGAAGACAAACAACAACACTGTTGGCGAGGATGTGGGGAAACATGCACACTCATACATTGCTAGTGGTATTGCAAATTGGTGTAGTCAATATGGAAAGCAGTAAGATTCCTTGGAGAGTTGGGAATGGAACAACCATTTGACCCAGCTATCCCTCTTCTAGCACTTTACCTAAAGGACCTAAAAAAAAGCACACTATAGGGACCACAGCCGCATCAATGTTTATAGCAGCACAGTTCACAATAGCTAAACTGTAGTACCAATCTAGATGCCCTTCAGTGGATGCATCAATAAAGAAAATGTGGTACATATACACAATAGAATATTACTCAGC